TTCTGTTTCTCAATCCTTTTTGGCATGTTCTTCAACGGGAATGTCTTTTTTTTTTTCTTGCTGGGTTGTCCAGATTAACTTTTTTTAAATTTATTTATTTATTTATTTATTAAAGATTTCTGTCTCTTCCCCACCCCCGCCTCCCCTTTCCCTCCCCCTCCCCCAATCAAGTACCCCTCCCTCGTCAGCCCAAAGAGCAATCAGGGTTCCCTGCCCTGTGGGAAGTCCAAGGACCACCCACCTCCATCCAGGTCTAGTAAGGTGAGCATCCACGAAACTGCCTAGGCTCCCACGAAACCAATAGGTACAGTAGGATCAAAAACCCATTGCCATTGTTCTTGGGGTCTCAGTAGTCCTCATTGTCCGCTATGTTCAGCGAGACCTGTTTTACTCAGGCTTTTTCAGACCCAGGCCAGCTGGCCTTGGTGAGTTTCCGATAGAACATCCCCATTGTCTCAGTGTATGGGTGCACCCCTCGCGGTCCTGAGTTCCTTGCTTGTGCTCTCTCTCCTTCTGCTCCTGATTTGGACCTTGAGATTTCAGTCCGGTGCTCCATTGTGGGTCTCTGTCTCTGTCTCCTTTCATCGCCTGATGAAGGTTAATATTCAGGAGGATGCCTATATGATTTTCTTTGGGTTCTCCTTCTTATTTAGCTTCTCTAAGAACCCGAATTATAGGCTCAATGTCCTTTATTTATGGCTAGAAACCAAATATGAGTGAGTACATCCCATGTTCCTCTTTTTGGGTCTGGCTTACCTCACTCAGGATGGTGTTTTCTATTTCCATCCATTTGCCTGCAAACTTCAAGAAGTCCTTGTTTTTTACTGCTGAGTAGTACTCTAATATGTATATATTCCATACTTATTTTTATAACCTGAACACTTCAATTCAGACAGCTGACATGACCTTTTTAGTAATGACTTAGGAAAAGTATCCCTAGTATGTTTCATAGAACGACACCAATGCAAAGTCTGTTGGTGCTGCGCATGGGCTTATAAAGACCCATCTAAGGAAGTCAGAGGGCTACCATGAAGTGAGACCGCATGCAGGCAAGCAAGACAAACAACCAAACAAACATGTTTCCCCAGAAGGCTAGGGTGGGGATGTGACCAGGAGGGGTCAGGTAGGGGTACCGAGAGAGACAACTGGAATCCGGGAGCACCTCTGAGACAAGCTAGAAACCTAGTGCAACGGAAACGTGCAGCAACCTACGAGGGCCAAGACCCAGGATCCTAGGATAGAACCAGACACGACTGTCAAAAAATAAAAAAAATAAAAGTCAGTGAAATGATTCCTAGTGATAGTCTGCTATGTTCGGAGATCGGTGCCCAACTGTCAACAAAGAGGCTTCATCCAGCAACTAAGGGAAACATGCAGACGCCAGGGGGCATGCCGGAAATCCTGTGGAAAAGGGATAGGAAGGATTGTAGGAGCCAGAGGGGTCAAGGACATCATAAAAAAATTCGCTTAGTAGGCTCAAAGGGACTCACAGAGACTGAACCAACAGCCAGATGGCTGGCATGGGATTGATCGAGGCCCTCTGCATATATGTTACAGGTTTGTGGTTTGGTCCTCTTGTGGACTCCTAACAGTGAGAACAAGGGGTGTCTATAACTCTTTTGCTAGCTTTTGGGACCCTTCTCCTCTACTGGATTAGCCTTGCCCATTCTTAATACAAGGGGAAGTGCTTGGTCTACTGCAACTTGATACGTTATGTTTGGTTGATATTCGTGGGAGATGTGGCCCTTTCTGAATAGAAATGGAGAAGGATTGGATAGAGGGGGTTGGAGGGGAGAAACTGGGAGGGCAAACTTGGGTCAGGATGTAAAAACATAAATAAATAAATAAATAAATAAATAAATAACAAAAAAGTTGTTGCACTAAATATGCAAAAAAAAAAAAAAAAACCTGTTTCCCTAACTAAGTTCTTCTTATCCACAAAAATCACACGTTGATGCCAGGTATGAGCAATGAGGCACACCCTCCTCAGGCTCCAAGGCCTCCAGCAGCACCTACTTCCCTCCCAGGAGAGCCAGGGCAGACTCTGGCAGACCCACCAGGAAAGAGAAGAACAGAGCCCAGCATAGAAGCTAAGGAGTCTCTGGTCTTCTGACTTCCCACTGTCCTTTGCTTTGCAAATATCTGCAAACCAGCTCCCAGGGACAATCGCAAAGTGAACCACACTCAGCAAGTCAAAAGAAACTGAACCTCAGTGTTACCAGCAACAGTCTACACTGGACCTCCCATCAGCATCCATTCCTCTGCTTACCAGCCAAACCCATTTAAATCCTTAAGGAACTCTTCGCCTTAAAGAGTGTTGTTATAGCAACCATAATAACTTTGGTTTTACTCTCGGGTACCAACAGCAGTTTGTTTGATGTAACACCTTCCCTTTGACGCAAAAAAGAGACACTAAAAGTCGGTTGGCAGTGTTTCTGTGTACTGGGAAGCAAGTAATTTCTCTTCTTGGGTCCTTAATTTTCCCATGTGAGAAGCAAAAGGGTTGAGGAGCCTCAAGTTCATTGTAGGGGTAGCATTCTGAGGAGACACAGGCACCTAGCTGTGAACCGTCTGCAAGGACCAATCGGTTGATTAGAATTTCAGTGCTGTGAAGATTGGAATTTTGCAGGTCCAGAGGCTAAATTACTTTATCCCGGACTAAGTTCAGGTCCTCTGGGAAAGCCATTCCTTGTACCCACCCCACCCCCATCTCGCCCATTCTTTGCCCCACCCTCACCACCCCTCATGCTGAAATTAACATCTTGGAACTCAAGATAAAAAGCCTTTTAGAATCTATTAACTTAGCAGGAGACTAAAAGCTAGGAATGCCACCAGATAGCATCTTGAGTCTACAGAAAAGCTTCCAGCGTTTTCTATGTTACATTTCTATATACCTGCCTCTCTGATGGACCCACCAACGTATTTTAAGCTTGACTTAATTTATGACTTCCTCTGTTCTGTAAAGCTAGACAGGCTCCCTGTAACCTCTTCCACGCTGGAACATGGAGTTAGGGGGTCACCTAAATCTGTGTTCCCAGGCCACGGCTGCTCAAAGTGGCTCCAGAATAAACTATCCCTTCTCCGTAAGTTGAGAGCTGTGGTTTTTACGCTGGCATTACAAAGTTAAACCATGTGGAAAGCAAGGGGAAGGTAAAGACACCTAGGAGGTGAGGGATGAAAGGAGGGGGCCACAGATCATAGTTAGCTTTGGGAAACTGGCCTCAGAGTTCTTTCCTTTGCCTGCTTCTCCTCTGCCAAACACGAAAAGCACAGTTACTTCCATGGGACTTATAAATAATAGATAAATTAATTAAATAAAATCAATGAAAACAATGCTTTGTTCTCCAGCGAGGGGCTCAGGAGCAGCGGATTACAAGAGACACTTTCCTCCCAATGGGGCTGATGTCAACAGCCCCTGCTTCTGCCCAAACAAAGGCCTCTTAGCGCCGGGATATGAGGCAAAACATCTAAGGCTCTATAGTTGGCCCTAGTTCAACTTGAGAACAAGGGGGCAGCCAGGAGAGCAGAACAAAGTTATGGAAGCAGGATAGGCTGGCGAGCGGGGAATTTCTAAATCTCTCTTCTCCGCTGCACAGGGAACTCTTGAAAGGCGTAATGGAAGGGTGCAGATCCCAATTTGAATTATTTTCTTTGTTTAACTCTCAACTGCTCTGCCTAAGGCGACTGCCTTTTAAGCTAACCGCAGAATCCTTCGGATGAAGGCAGAGCAGCTGGAAGACCCACACTCAGGAGGCTCAACTTTCAGACCTCAGCTTCCTGCCTGTAAAATACAAGGTTCTCTAGTTGTCGTCTGGACCCTAGCAGTAACAATGGTCCATGGCTGGAGGCTGTCCAGCTCTCCTCAGAGACCGCTTAGCCTCTAGAGGAATGATCCGAAGTGAAGCATCAATTAGGCGGGGACCTGTCACTCCTGCACAGGTCGTCCAGGATCCGTTCACCCCACCCCCACCCCCATCCTCAGGGCTGCAAAGCTCAGATCTCACTAAGTAAAATCTGGCTGCATGAGCAGGCGGAAAGTAAAGCGAAAGCACCCAAACAACCGACCTACCTCCGCGAGCCTCGGAAACGACAAGAGGACCTGGGTGGCCTTGCGTGAAGAGGAGGAGCCAGTGACACCTGGAGGGTCTAGGCTCAGGGACCTCCGAGGCGAAGTGCAAGCGAAACCCAAGACCTCACTGGTGGATTTGGTTTAAATTGGACTATTCTTTTGGTAGGCTAGGGAGGCGCTCGAGATTCCCCAACAGAGGCAGTCGCCAGAGTACGGGGACAATGGTGTGTCCGACAGAGTCTGTTTTAAAGGATAACTACGGACTCTTGGTTCAACCCGCATCTCTAGGAAACCTCGGGGGAGAGGTGAGGGCTTGTCACCTCAAGGCACGTGCCGAAGGGTAGAACACACAAGTTGGGGTGGGGACTTTGGTAGTCTCTTTCTTGTTTGTTTTTCATTTTAAAATTTATAGGGTTAGTCCGACCCCTCACAGAACACCTTTTCGAAACACCTCTCGCCCTCCAGCAGTGAGTGTTGTCTCCAAGCACCACACCCACGGGTCTGTCTAAGACAATAACTTCTGCCTGCAGGCGGCTCAGCAGGGCTGTTGAGCAGGGCTAGCTGCACCCCCCAGATCCCTAGCGGGGCACACGTGCGTTTGTTGTGGTGCATGTGCTCCCTCTCCTTCCACCAGGCTCAGTCTCTGTTACCTCAGTGGGCAAGATCGGAAGGGACCCGCGTTCTGCAACGCAGCGGCTTACACAATACAGATGCTGCGTTGCGGGCTCCTGCGGGCCCCGCACACGTGGATTTGTTGTGGGTGCGCAGACTGGCGAGCCGCGGGAGGCCAGGGTGCCTGCCCCTCCCCTGGGCCAGAGACGGACACCCCCAGCCCGGGGTGGCGGCTCTTGCCCAGGCATCGGAGGCTGCCCCTCAGCTCATCCCTGCACCCCTCCTCCCGGCCAGTGCCGCCCGCCTCGCCCATACTCACTGGCAACACTCTCAGCCGGGAAGGCGGCGGCCGCTGTGCCCCCCGCGCGCTCGAGCCGGTCGGGAGCTGTATTCCCTTTGTTAGGGTCAGGCAGTGCCAGGGCGGCTCCCTAGCCCGGCTTGGTCCTGGACTCCACACCCCCAGGTGCCTCCGAACCTCACCAGGCCGGGGAAGAAGAGTCCCGCACTTTAGCTCCGAGTGAGTCCGCTGAGAATGGGGCCTTGGGGGAGCAGCGAGGGACTGGGGGGAGGCGGGGATGTAGTAGCAGGGGATCGGAGAAGGAGGGAAGAAAAGCACTGCAGACCGGCAGGAGGAAGCTCAGTCTCCGTTATGCAAATAGAGTCGTTAAAACTAGAGCGAGAGTCCTTAATCACACAGGTCCCCAAACCATACTGGCCCTCTGGGGGTCGCCAGCGAGCAGGCTCAAGGTTAAAGGTGCCTGCTTAGGACTCCCCGTAAAGCAGGGAGTCTTGCAGGCACCCTACAAAGAGCAAGGCTAGTGGGGCGGAGCAATGCCTCAGGCAAGGAAGCCCAAATGCAGTCTCCACCCCTACCCCACCACCTCTGCATGTCTCAAAGTTTTGGATTCGGTGTGGTCTAAGAAAAACGCTCTTAACAAGGGTGCATGTGCTGGCCCCACGTAATGACCCTGATCGGGGAAGTCAGTTTAACCCCTTTGAAACTCGAATTTTTTGTGTAGAACACATACATTTTAGACTCTAAAATTTAGAGTTTAACGAAAATTTCCCAACCTCAAACGTAGCCAGTACACAGCATCCTCAAACATTTTTTTTTAATTTTTATTTGAAAGGAAAAATATTCTGGAACCCGCGACCAAGAACTTTTCTCTGCAGGTATGCAAGCAGATAAGCCTCCACTAAAATGGTAAAGGCAGGCTTCCTTCCACTAGGGTTAGGATAAGACTACTGGAGAAGTCAGGAGGAAACATCTTGTTCAAGAAGCAGCCTGGTAGGCTGACCATATCTGATTACCCAGTGGCCACTTCCGAAAGACTGAAAATGATCTATAAGAGGCCTGGAAGCAGGAGTCAGGCTACTCCTTCAGTTCTTCATGTATTCCAGAGAAGAGATGCGCCTTCCAGAGGCGGTAATCCCATCCCAGATACCTGCTGAATATCCGCCTCTGTGTTGAAAGGAGATAAAATGGAGCACAAGAGAAGAGGACGACTGCTCGGCTGAGGATTCTGAGAAAGCAAAATGTCTCCTTGGGAAGACTTCTTGAACCCCAGCGCCAGAGGGGGTCTCTTCAATTCCAGGTAGCCACCTCCCATCACCCACCTGGGAAAGGAAAGATTGCATCCTCCTCCCCAGCATCCTTCTTTCAGGCTGTGCTTCCTCCATCCCTTGATTCCAACTTGCTCTGTTGTTGTCCCTCCCCCAGCAGCTATGGAGGCAGTGGCTTAATCCAGAGACCTGAATCAGAAAGTGCCAGACAGTGAATTCAGGTCTGGGGCCAAGAAGCTATTTGTTCTTGGGTGAGTTCCATAGTCTCCCTGGGCCAGTCTTTCCTCTTCTGCAACGCGGAGATCTAGGGCACAGTACTGTTCTCATGATTATTTGAAATGACTTGTATGAATCGAGTCACATTGGGTCAACATATTGAGCATGTTTAGAACAGCAAACTCTAGAATATGACTAAACAGTGGCACACAAACTCGGATGTTGGAAGGGGGTGGCTTGTTTCGTTCCTGGCTGCTCAGCCCCAAAATAACCGCACAGAAACTGTATTCATTAAATCACTGTTTGGCCCATTAGCTCTAGCCTCTTATTGGCTAACTATTATATTAATTTAACCTATTTCTATTCATCTGTATAGCGCCACATGGCAGTGGCTTACCAGCAAAGTTTTGGCATGTCTGACTCTGGCAGAGGCTCCATGGCAGCTCTTTCTGACCCCGCCTTCCTCCTCCCATGCTATAGACCAAGTCAGTTCTTTATTCATTAACCAATAAAAGCAACACATGGACACATGGACACAAGGACCTCCCACACCACTCAGATTTTTTATTTGAAAGGGTGCTGACAATTTTCTTCTGCTACGTTAAGAACCTTTAAACGATATTACCCATGGCATCTTTGTGTTTTGCATGGATTCTCCTGCTGCCATGCTGGAAGAGGGAAGCAGGAGCGAGGCGTGTGGTAAGAGGATTGACTTGGAAATGGACATCAGAGGAGATCTAAGAAGAACCTCAGCAGTGACACTAACTGGGGAAATTAAGAAAGGGCATCTAAACATAGCTACCAGAGGTACAAAGCTTGTGACAGTGTCTCTTGTGCTAAGAGACAGTAGGTGCTAAGCCCGTTCATGAATGAGGAAATTAGGCCACCCACGGCCCCTCAGAGGGCAGAATTTCCTACATTCACTGAAAGCCTCAATCTGTTTTATCAACCTCCTTGGTTCAGCTCAACTTAGGAACTGAGAACCAAGCAATAGGAGAGCAACCCTTTTAAAATGTGGTACAGTCCCTAGTCTTGAGTTCTATTTTCTAGCTCTTTGGCCAATTAATGGAGAAAATAAGGGAAGGGGCTCTTTTGGGATTTTGAGCTTGCCGGACTGAAAATAACCACACACCGTGGCAAGCCTAAAAAGAAGTTCTGGGGCTCTGGGACAGACGAGCTGATACAAAGGGGTGTTCCCAGCAAATTTTCAGGGTGGGATAACTATCTGGTGGCTTTCCCAAGGTGGCTCTCTCATCAGCAGGGTCTTCTGACCTACAAGTGAGAGACGAGATGAAATACTAACTCAGAGGCTATTGTGTAGTCTGTGCCTTGACTGGTTGCTTTCCTTAGAGGCACACATCCAGCAACTTAGGCTCCACCATCTGAATGTACCCTCCTCCATTCATATGTGGAAATCTCAAGCCTGCCTCCAGCAATAGCAATAGGAGACAAGGCCTTGCAGAAGCAGAGATGTCATGAGGGCAAAGTTATCTTGAAGGAGACCGATGTCTTTACCAATGAGACACTGGCATGTCCTTCTACCGTGTCAAGATGCAGCTAAAACGCACCATCTACAATCTGGACACCTGTCCTCACTAGTCATTAAAGCCATGGTCACCTAGACCTTGAACCTACTAGACTTCAGAACACTGAAAAATAGATTTCTAGTGCTTTAAACAACCTAATTTGTATATTTGTTGTTGCAGCCTTAATAGACTAAGACAGCCCCTCAGCGTCTTGGGTCATGCCCTTCCCAGTCATCTTCCCAGGCAGTTTTATTAATGAATATAAATGAGGTCCTTCTCTGTAATAGTCAGTTACAACAAGCCACTTGCAAACAGTATTTCCTTGACACTCTTGAGAAATATCCTGGGGACAAAGGATATGGCAAGCAATTAGAACTTTCCTCCCAAATCCTTTTATCCAACCCCCCTGTAGATGTTCACGAAGACCCAGAATAGATTTTCATGGTTCTTCTCTGAGCACCTCAGAACACATTGTCCAATATGAAGTTGGACTCTGGGACCCAGCGAACTGTGATCTTCCTGGGCTGCCCATGTTGACCCTCAGTGCTGCCAAGCTTGAAGATGAAACTCGCAAACATAGGGGAGAATACAATGGCCAAGCAAGAAGACAGGAATAAAATAACAAAAATAACAATGTCTCTAAGCACACAAGAGTTCAGCATTTGGATGCAAGGCAGTTTGTGTAAGTATTCTCATTAACTCTTTGTGAAGTCCAGTATTCTCCCGTCATCCATTGCTGCTTTCCCTAGTTTTGCCTGAAGTCAATCTTAGAATGATGTTCATACTTGTGGGGGGGGGGATAACTACAGATCTGACTTCATAATGTTTTTTAAAAATTATTTTATGTTTAATTATGTGTAAGGGAGGGGGTTTATAGGCTTGTGAACATAAATACACCTCAGAGACCAGGAGAGAGCATCGGGTTCCCTAGAGCTGGAGTTACAGGTGACTGACAGTCACTCGTCATGGGTTCTGGGAACTGAACTCGGGTCCTCTACAAAATCTGTTCCTAACTGCTGAGTCTCCATAAATATTCAAAAAAATTTAATTCCAAACAAGGTGTTGCAGCTCTCTTAAATTAGAGATGATATTATCACAGAAAATATGTGTTCTTAAGAAGGTAAAATGATGTCATGTTTTGACATCGCAGGGCAAGACTCTCAGGTATTCACTGATAGCGAAACTTTAAGATTCTCTAGGTTGCCAGTGGTGGTGGCACATGCCTTTAATCCCAGCACTTGAGAGGCAGGTGGATCTTTATAAATTCCAGGGTAGCCTGGTCAACAGAGTGAGTTTCAGTACAGCCAGGGCTGTTACACAGAGAAACACTGTCTTGAAAAAAAAAAATCAATCAATCAACCAATCAATAAAGAAATTTCTCTAGGCAGCCTGGTCAACCTCCTACATTCCCATGCCTCCACCCTCAACATTCATCTACCCAGATATTCTCATCTGGACGGCTCTATTAATTGTATTCTTCTAGAAAATACCAGCTTTCCTTGACATCTCTGAAAAGAAAGGAAGGAAGGAAGGAAGGAAGGAAGGAAGGAAGGAAGGAAGGAAGGAAGGAAGGAAGAGGGAGGAAGGGATAGAGGGAGAGAGAGAGGGAGGGAGTTAGGGAAGGAGGAAAGGAGAAAGGGAGGGAAGGAGGGAGGGAGGGAGGGAGGGAGGGAGGAAGGAAGGAAGGAAGGAAGGAAGGAAGGGAGGGAGAGAGGGAGAGAGAGAGGGAGGGAGAGAGGGAGGGAGGAAAAGAGAAAGGGAGGGAAGGAGGGAAGGAAGGAAGGAAGGAAGGAAGGAAGGAAGGAAGGAAGGAAAGAAGAAAGGAAAGAAAGACAAGGGAAGTCAGAGCTGGAGAAATGGCTGAGATCAAGAGCACTTGCATAGGATGCTAGCTTAGTTCTCAGCACCCACAAACATCTCTAACTCCAGTTCCAGAGGATCCAGTGCCCTCTTCTGGCCTTCATGGGCACTGGCACACAAATGGTGCTTGCATGTATGGGAGCACTTGTACACATCCATAGAAACAAATCTATATAGGAGCACTCACACACATCCATAAAAACAAATCCATCTAAGCATGTATGTGAACTCTGGAGAGAAGGGGGTGGGGTATGACGTTTGTGTTTCCCTGCTGTCAAATAAAGGTCAGAGCATCAGCTGTACACACCTGCTGTTCCCGTGAGAACTGTTGGCCCCGTGGCCTAAGGGAAGGGGCTGATACTTTAAGTTGACTGTTATATTGTAAATTAATCCATTCTAATTTTTAAAATCTTGATTGACTATTTTCCTTGTTAAATAATTTAAAAAAAATAAAAAAACTGGAAGTTCTTTGCTTAAAAAAATCTATATGGGAGCACTTGTACACATACATAAAAACAAATCTATATGGGAGCACTCATGAAATCTATATGGGAACACTCACACACATACATAAAAACAAA